TGTTGTCTCGTTGCATGCAGCAGGGTCGAGGAATACAGCTTCACATCGTACTTATCCAACCTCGGTCCACTCCACCGTCTAGCACATGTGGCGCGTGCCCAATATCGAGGAAAATCTGGTTCAGATTGCGAGTCTTGGGGAGGAGTGAGGGGCAAATGGATACATGGATGGTGCGCTCCTGCGCGCTTGGCTGGGATCGGAGGGAGGGGCAGACATGGCGTGTAGAGGTTGCTTCATGACGCTTTGGTAGTAATCGTGATTTCGGACAGGGAAGGGCCAAGCGCGTCACAGAGTGCTGATGCAGAAGCTTGTTTCAAACATGAACAACCAGAAGGTAACATCTTTATGTCGCTCGGATCCTATCGAGCGTGAAGGGCGGCGTGCGTGCAGGATGGTCAGAATGACACCGAAATTTCACGACAGATGGAACGATGTGCCGCCTTCGGTCATGGCCGTCTCGAGTCGGTTACGCATCACCTCCTTCGTCGAGTAGGATGGCAGCTTGAGATAGTTGACGCAAGTCATGACGCTCGGCAGGTAATCGTCCGGTGTCAAAGGAGCTTCGTGCGGTCTCTTGACGATGGTAAGTTGAGGGTGTAGTCCCGCCAAACCACCGATAGGAAGTTTCGGCGATCCCGTGAGCCATTGCAAGAATCGCCGGCGGTCGTTCAGGCCGAAGGATGCCATGATGCTGATGATATCTCGGAAAGCCGCGCTTTCGCTATTGAAGCCGTGGTCAGGCTTGATGGCGCTCAGGAGCGTGGATTCGCCCCAATCTTCCTCTGTGTTGCCAAACAGCATCACGAGCTCATCCGCTGTGAAAGACGCCATAGCGGAGATGGGAAAGATCAGAGTAAAGCCTCGCCTGAAGGCGCGCACGAAGGGCTTGACTCCGTGCACGAGTGTGTGAGAAATGACCTCTTGAATGTACTCTTCAAGATTGTGTCTTTCCACTGCGATCTCCTTGCCACCAGCCTTCAGCTCGTATTCAGAGTGTCCGGGTAAAGTAAAGTCGAGACCCATTCCGGCGAGGGTCTCCTCGTCGAGACCGCGTAGCTTGTCCATGCTCCGCGCCAGGCTCGGGTCGACCGCAGCGAGCATTCCAAGTGTCTCTGGAAGACGCTGGTTGAGGACCAGGCGCATGAAAACGGGTGAGAAGTGGATGTCGATGATGCGAGAGTCCAACAGAGCCTTGGCGACGAATTGTCCGAGCACGGTGAATTGTTGCAACCTGACAGCGTCAGACTTGTCCGGAGAAGATGCCGTCGTAGAAGCATTCGGCGAGCTACAGGCGGCTTTTGCGTCCTTTGCCGAGAGCACCGTAGGAAAGAGACCTAGCGGAGAAGAGACGTATTCGCTGTCCTCTGGGCCGCCGCCATCGTCGCGCCACATGAGTACAGACTTCTTGGCAAACTCGCGAGACACCAGCGCGTAGAACTCGAGCGTTGGTCCCAGACCCGTGCCAACTTCCTCGAAGTACTCCACTTCAAGCAGAGCGGAAGTTGTGCCATAGAGCTCCAAGACCTTCATGGCGGAAGGAAAAATGTTGCTCCGCTGGATGCGGACTTTTTGCCTGCTAAGGCGGCCCAGAAGCGCCAGCGAGTCGTCGTTCCTCGAAGTTGCAGACGAGGAGTCCTGATTTCGCGATTGCTGCACCTGCCAGCGCGAAATTAGACGATGGTAGCCAAACGCTGTGTTTTGGAGGTACGAGTATCGCGCCTCGAAAGGATAGAGGAATGGGAATGCGCGCGGTAGCTCAGTCGCCCACCCAGGTAAACAGCTACTCGCGACGATCATCGGCTCCTCCAATTGCCGATTGAGTTTGGCGGTAAGTTTGTTATTGACGAAGGCTACTTCGTCCAGCGTTGCGGCCGAGCTTTCACCAGGACGCTGCGAGTCGCCTGTGCTCTCGCGCCACTCGCTGTTTAAGTCGTGCAACACACTGAGCAGCTGCAAGATTTTGGCAAATGGGGCTTCTGCTGGAACCGACGAGGGCAGTTGAACCTCGTTCGTTTCCGCTTCCACGGGCTCCGGCGTTCCTTGCACAGCTGCATAAGAACACGACAATCTTTGAGTCAGTCACTGCGGTAGGACGCGAACCACGCCTTCGCCACTCACCGTCATCGGTCGCTGGCTGCGGTCCCTCTACCTTCTTATAGCGCACCGTGTACACATTGTTCCATATGTATCGACCCAAACCGCTCGCTTGCCTTGCGGGTGTCATCTCAAAGTTGTGAACAGCCTGATAGATCGTCGACGCCAGCGATACATCTTTGCCGTCAAACTTGAACTCCAAATGCCAGTCAGTTGGCTTCTTTTGCACAGCCGATGCGTAAGAGCCCTCGGACTCTGCGACCGCCGACTGACCGGCGCGCTTGGGAGGTGAAGCGCCTAAAGGCTTGTTGGCCTGAGTGCTTGACTCTGCACCTTGATCTGCAGGTGTCTGCAGCCCGCTTGTGGTCTGGCTGTTCTCTCCAGAAGCCGGCACCTTCAGGTTAACCGTCTTGTCTTCTCCAGAGGCAAGTGCAGCCTCGCTGTCCAAGGCGGCGGCGGCGGCGCTGTCCTCGATGACATCTTCTTCGTACCCGTCATCGTCTGAGTAACCGTCATCGCCTTCCATGTCGCCGTTCATGATGCCTTCCAGCATACGACGTGCGAGCTGCGAAGCATCTTCCTCGTCTCCGCCAAAGATGCCCTCGCCAAGCGCAGCATGTGCTGATGTTTCGTGGTCCCCTCCACTCCCAGAAGCGCCGGCACCTTCTGTTCCATCACCCGCGCTCTCTCCAGCACTCTTGGCGCTCAGCCGCGAACTTCTGCGAGGCTTGGCAGCCTCTTCGCCGCCCTCTGCTCTCGCATCTTCCGCTTTGCTGGATGATGCGCCACCGGAGGCTGTTGCAGCTTCGCCGGAGCTTCCTGAAGCCTTGGTGCGTGAAGAGCCGGCCAAGAAGCCCAGGTCACTCCCAAAATCAGCACCAGAGCCAGCAGCCATTGCTGCTAGCATACCAGACAGCCTCGATGCCGCTGACTGAGCACCAGATCCACCACTGGACATAGCTGCGGCAATCTTTGGTCGCAAATACTCGTTCAGATTTCGAAATGCAGCGATAGCGTGAATGCTGACGACGATGTTGTTGCAGCTCCGCGGGATGTCTTTCGTCTCTCCTTCGGCAACAAGCTTAAGTCTGACCAAGCGGGCCACGTTCGCCGTGGGACTGCGTCGAGTGTCGTCAGCGCTGCCACTGAGCGCAGATGTAATATCGAACTTTTCGAGTCGACTCAAGGTCTCTTGCAGTCGGCGAACGAGGGACGAGGCTGGAGACGGTAGCGTAGAGTCCGTACGCTTCATCAAAGCGGTCACAAGGAGCTCGCGGCGTTTCAGAGTCGGCACTGCCTCCGAAGAGCCCACTGAGAAGTTGTAAAGGCCATTCACAAGACCAGATCGTAACAACTCGAAACTCGAGATTGGCGAATCCTTTCGCGACAATTGCGACGCAATCGCTTTAAGCGTGTCTTCCGCTTTGGACACCACCTCGGTCGCATCGCCTTGTAGAGACTGCACGAGAGCCTTGAGATGGTCCAGCGCGCGGATCGCCTCAGATCCGTCAGCTGCGCTACTGGCACTGACTTCTTCGGCGAAACGGTCCCGCATCATGCGCGCACGCCAAATGTTGGCGTCGTCTGCATCAGTTGGCAGTACTGGTGCTTTGGTTGGAAGTCCCAACGCAGACAGCGAATTGGCGCCAAGTCCAAGTGCTGCGATTGCGGCTGACGCGCTTTCTTGTGAGTGACCAGCAGCAACCAGGCGAGCACGGTAGGCTTCTTTGGCAGAGTCACTTGCTGCAGACCCAGGGGTTGTTGCGACGACTGAAGGAGCGGGAGCACTTTCTACTTTGTCAACGCTGGTACCCTTTTCCTTCGGGGACGTCTTTGTCAACGTCGAGCGCGCGGGCTCGCGAGACGCGATGTCCTCTATTTCCCACACGACACCTTCCCTGCGGAGGGCTGCGCTGTAAACCCTGGGCAATTTGGTGTTGAGGAGGTCAACGAGCTGAAGAGCGCTCAATACTAGCGCGGGATTGTCTCGAGATGACAAGATAGCAGCGGAGAAGCTAGCTAGCGGGACATTCTAGAGAGGTGCGCAATCGCACAGAGGCTCGTAGGTGAGCTCTCGTCCAGTCAACAAA